GGTGACGCAAGTTGGCAAAAGCCTATCGAGCTTTCTGTATCCATGCTGAGATTCCATCAGTCACCAGACCATTAGCACTGATGAGACTCCCCAGATAAGTGAAGCGGTCTACACGTTCGACTACTTCACTCCCTACCACTCAGGTTCCGATGCAACCCAATCTTGCAGCAACATTTTGCATTTCGACGGGGAAAACCGCATCTCGAACATGAGATGTTTACACTGATTGATCCCTGAGTGATGAAGTTACCAAAAAATAATGTTTTTCTTATCATGCCGATTGGATTCTATCTCAAATTACAGTGTGGCTTCAAGATTGAAGGTACCACTCGCTGATGATTGTCAGCTCACACGAAACCTTGTTCCAACATCTGCTGACAACTTCTAGCTACCTAATATCTCATCAAAGTGCACGTAATTTCGGATCACGTTGCAAGTTGATCGAGAAAATTTGATAAGCAGAAAAATCATAGGTGACACAGGATCAAGAAACAGATCAAAAGGGGGATGCAACCAAAACAAAGTTGCAAACAACGACAGGTCAAAAGTCAACAGCAACCAATCAAGATCGAGGTTAGCAGAACAAGCTACAGGTCAAACGTGGAGAAATTCGAATGCTTCACTTCTTCTATCTGAAATTTGTGCTGATGATGTTGTTCAGTAGAAGAACAATGAAAAAAGCTCCACAACCAAAACAACCAGCTCAGAGAACGAAACACCACCACAAGCATTTAACTAGATAAATACGATATTAGTCACTATTCAGCGGTCAATCAACTGCTACTTCTAACCTTTTAAGTGTATGGTGTTTCGCAAATCATTGGGCTGCATGTTTTTACAGTTGCAATAAATTCTGCCTAATAAAGTAGACTTGTGTATACACTTTTTCATAATCTCATACGGGAATTGTTTTATTCTGAATTAAAATGTTGCAGTAACTTGTCACTGTTTACGATATTTTACTTATGATCTTATCCTTAATAAAAATAATTTCAACTTATCTATTAAATACACACTTTGACGTACACTGTTTAACATGACGAACAGTAATGCCACTTAACTCTTACCAAATTTTGAGAGGTAAGGTTCTACTCTGTGGCATGATGATATAGATAATCATGTGATCTGAATTAAACTGTTTATTTCACAAGCACTTAACGCAATACACTTATAATACATAACCTTGTTATATGCCTAATTGTGTACTAATTCAAATCTACTGTTTGTTACCATTCATTTCTTTGTGTGTGTGTGTGTGAAATAACAGCGTCAAGAAGTATTACGTACAGGAACAATGCAAGCTACTGAAGAAGAAGAGCTTATTAGGCGAGCTAGAGAAGGCATGGAAGATGGTGAAGATGCACAATTCTCAGTTATGGTAAGCGTATTTTATTCCACTGCGAGTCACACTTTATCTAGTCAATATAATATAAGCTTGTGTCATAATCAAAGCAATCAAGAAAAGATGCCTATTCGCTAACCAAGATTAGTCACATTTCAGTTTAAAGATCAGCAATCTCGTTCGTTACCTTGTGGAAATAAATGCTTAATAAGTTTGTAATACATTTATCTGTGAAAATTGTAATGTGAATAGGTGTGTATGTGTAGGTATATTAAGTCATTCTCAGTTGATTATTGGTTAAACTTACATTATTGAAACCATGAATCGATCGATGTTAGACCACCATTAGAAACCTGGAAGCACTGAAAGACGGCCGTTTCGTCCTGTTACGGGACTCATCAGTGGCAGTGCGCATTCACGACTCCTGGTTAAAGGATTATTTTATTTTTTGCTAATGAACATTATTTTGAAAAAATCGAAAGCTCTGTGCAGATACTTTGTTCTTTACAAGTGAACTTCACATTATTAGATACAGGATCCTTGATTTGTTCGGCGGCTGGGTTGTTGAATGCCTATTACAACTTAGGAGTTGTCCAATTCACTTTGGGATCTAGTGATTATCTAATTGAGTTTAATTTATGATGTAAGCTGTAAAACTTGTATCTATTTCATTTTTGTTACATCCGCATTCTGTTGTTATTGTTTCATTTTCATACTTATAGATACCAGTTGAAGATCAATCATTTCTTTGGTCTGATAAATATCGTCCAAGAAAACCACGATTCTTTAATCGTGTACATACTGGTTTTGTATGGAATAAATATAATCAAACACATTATGATTTAGATAATCCACCGCCTAAAATTGTTCAAGGTTATAAATTCAATGTATTCTATCCAGATTTAATTGATAAAACTAAAACACCAACTTATACGCTAACAGCATGTGGTGAATCTGAAAAAGATTTTGCTATTCTACGTTTTATCGCTGGACCACCATATGAAGATATTGCATTTAAAATTGTTAATCGTGAATGGGAATATTCCTATAAGCATGGATTTCGATGTCAATTTCAAAATAATATTTTTCAATTATGGTTTCATTTTAAACGATTTCGTTATCGTCGATAATTTGTACGGAGAAAATGTCATTGAGAGAAATACTCTCTCTCTATCTCTCAAAAAAAGCCTTGTATATTCTCTATTTCTTTTTTACATTCAAAGGAGTATTTACTTAAAATTTCTAGATATTTTTTAAATTCATTTATATATCATAAATTTCATGCGAATTTCATGTGAATTTCTCTTTCATTACATGTGTATATTTTGAAAACTTCAGTTTTTTTTTTTTGGTTATTGAACGCGTCTGAATCAAGTTATGATCGACTGTGATTATTATCATTTAACGTTGGATTGTAAAACTCATTGTTGGCTTGTTGTTAGTTAATTCGAGAGTTGTATTGTATGCATGAAGTTTCCTATTTCTACACTGATAGCCGCCAAACATCTTTAGTGTTTTCCGCTGTCGTCAGCAGTGTTTCTTAAACGTAAACAATTTAATAATCTATGATTGATTCGAAATGGTGAGACACTGATTTTCTTGTATGTCCGATTCACTCACTCACTGATCAACAAACGATCTATATTTTGATTGTAAACTTATCCAACAAAGTAAAACTAAGATGAGCAAAGGCGTCTACCAGTGATGTTATTTTTCAATAAGGGATCATAGTTGCTTAGTTTGTATTTGTAATGAAATAAGAAGACGGACAGACAGTTTCTCTAGACTTGTCAAATAAATGAGTTATTCTGTCTTACAAAATAAATTAGTCAATATTAGTTGATTGAAGCCCAGATATGTGACTTCAACATTTCAATCACTAATGCTCATTTATTAATAATTGAAAAGAAACTTATCACAGCGTTATATAATTTGTTACAGATTAGATTTGTCTCTATTACTTACTACTACCAGTTATAAAAAGCTAATATCAACAATTCATTTGAATGAATTATAATCTACGTTAGCCACTTTGATGTTCCGTTGTGGATTGGAGATAGTTTTTACGTAGTGAATATTCTTCAGTTGTGTATATTATTAGCATTTTGTTGGAAATATGTTAGACTAGCTTCTATTTCATCATTTTTCTTGCCTTATCTGTTCATTTAATATAACATTTGTTGTAAATCTACTCCTGATTAACCTTAAATTATAACACAACAACTGTACGTATGTTAATTTTATCAAATAAACTATTTCTTAGGTATATTGAGAGTTATTTTTACTTTAAACGGTCGTTGAGTAGTCATACGGATATTGGTCATTCACTACTAGCTACAACATAGATACCGTTGTGTATTGAATAGTAATACTTTTGGAAATGAGCTAAAAACATATTGTCATCGATATTTGACTCGTATACGTGCAGGGGGGCGCCCCAAAAGATCGCTATCCATGGGTACTGGCGGAAATGATTAAAATTATAAAACATAAAAAGCGTGATACTTATCCAGATTAATACAAAAAATGGGAATTAGCAAAAAATAAAGGTGTCGTTATGATGCTTGAGGATTAAGTCAAGTAAAAACATCTTAATAATGAAACTAGGATATTTCGGGACACAGTTTTGGAGGTTTGCGTTTTTACACATTTGAAATCATCAATCAATCATTGTTAGACCACCATTAGAAACCTGGAAGCACTGGACGGTCGTTTCGTTCTGGTATGGAACTCATCGCACTGCTGATGAGTCCCATACCAGAACGAAACTAGGATAGTAAGAAGGTTCAAAAAATACCGATTAATTTGCAAACGAACCTTTATTGCATTGAGTATAACTTATTTCATAAACGATCGACCAACGAAACTACTAGTCGGCTGTTGTGTGATTAAAAAAAGGAAACTGTATTTACCAAAGTCTAAAACTACATTATCTTATTGGCTAAATGATAGAGGAATATATAATTTGAAGACATGTGTGGCTCGCTAAGTTACTTGTAAATAATTGTTTCTTGTCATTCCATATAACAGTAGACCCGCATATAACCAACTTAAATGACAGGGCTGATAAGATGAAAACCAACTAAATTACTTGAGGGTTCCTCATCACCTTTCTAAGTTTATTTCACTAGATTCTACTTCTTGAATAATATCCTCGAACCCCAATCTCTCCGATTACTACTAATACTTTTACTACCTTTACTACTAGGGGATTTGAAGTGACAATTGCATCTCTGTACTAATGTGGTGCGCGCTACTTATAAGTAGTATATGACGCGAGTGAACACATAATGTCTGGCAGCAACAGATGAGGGAAGATCAAGAAAGGAAGAGTGGGAACACAATGGAATTTGTATGAAACGCATGAACAGTGGTGAAATGTCAGACAATGGATTGAAGATTTGCAAATTAACCGTTTACGATATGGTTTTCCTATTTTACTGAGTAACTAACTCTGTAATTTGTGATAAATACAATTCGGTTGCCCCCACCTGTGTTCACCTTCACTACAATATGGCAAATTGAATTGATGTACATACGTATGAAGTTCTACGTTACTGTTGATTGACTTGGAAATTACTAATATGCTACTACTACTTATACTACTTATAATCCATAAAAAGTTTTGAACAAATGTTTCGCATGTCAGTAGTATAAGATATTATATTTCTTGAAACATATATCACAGAAATAACGTACAGTTAAGGATTTTCAAATAAAGTATACTATAGTGAAAGCCAATAGCTATACAAAAAATATCTATCTACACGAAAATAAGAAAACTTGAGAAATTAGAAAAAAAGAAGAAGAAGGTAGAAACAAAATCATGTTGATGTTAACAATTCAAATATACCAAATCTATCTTGAAATGATGGATATGGGCAAGTAAGTAATGGAGGTTTAGTTGAATCAAGCACAATATTATTGACTTTTTGTAATTGATCATCATTTTCAATTACTGAAATTGAAGAATTAATAATTTTACGTAATTCTATCCATGAATTAATTAAATCAGAATCAAAATATGCATTATTAAAACAATTAAATGATGATTGATTCATTATCCATGTGAATGAATCATTGAATAAATAATAATCATAATCACCAAGTTGTGATTGAATATGTTCATTGAATATTGAATCAACAGTTGAAAGTAAATCAATTTCTGCAACTTCACCCGATGCATCAGTAGCGTTATCATCAACTTCATCATCATCATTGTTGTTTAACTGTTGAAAATGATTAAGATCAGTTAATAATGTTTCAACTTTAGATGCTTGTACAATATCATCCAAGTGTGGTGCAAAACAACAATTCAACGCACCAGGATCAATAGGATGAGCTTCTGTATTAAAAATGTAACCACCTAATTCTGGATAACATTGAAGTCCTGATGGTGAACGAGCAGTTCTTTCGGAAGATAATCGTTCACCTGGTAATTGATGTATGAAATTATTTTCATCAAATAATAAATATAAATATTTTGTTGTTTCTGCTAAGAAAAATGATTCCATTCTATCTTCTAATGTATGTTTTGTAACATCTGAAACCTAAATTGAAGGATACTGTATCAATATATATTTGCTTTTTATCTAAAAAAAGTATTATAAGCATGATAAAATAGCTCAAATAATAGGGAATGATTTTCTTAGGGACCTCCTACTCCTTGTGCTATTAGCCCAGGGATCGATTCTTCAAAGTGGATGAACATTAGATGCTGTTTTATGGTAATTGGTGACCAAAAATAGGTTAATAAACATAATTTATTCCCTCAGAACCTTGGAGGTATATTGGCTTGGAATAGAACTGCCCCAACTTTACAAGGCATTCATTTTTTTGTCTTCTCATTTCCGTAAACAATACTATAGTGTGTAGTGAGTGGAAGGGTCTATGAGTCAGTTAGTTGCAACGTAGAACTTCGTACGTATGTACATAAGTTCATGTTGCCATACCACATTAGCACAGAGACGCAAATGTCAAATCAAATCCCATAGTGATAAAGATAATAGAGGTATTAATGGTAATGAAGAAGACTAGGGTTTGAAGATATTATTCAAGAAGTATAATTCAATCGGATAAGGTTAGAAAGACAAAGGTAGAGGTGCTGACGAATCCAGGAGATTAGGATTTGAGAGAACACAAAGAATGAATGCACCTGCGCCATTGCAAACGATTTTGAGTCATGTTAATTCAAGGTCTCTAACCATTGGTTACTTTCATCTCGCGGACTCCAACCAGGTAGTCTACATCTACCAACATGACTCAGTCTGATTGTCAGTGGCATGTCCCAACGGAAGGGTCTATGAACGAACAACTGTATATCGAAACACTTGAGAACTATTGGTAATTATGAATATTAGTTCACACGAGTTTTTAGGTGAACCATTGACCAAAATGAACAACACGGTTCTACTATAAAGCACAATCGCACATATATCAAGAATGATAAAAGACGCAAGAACTATAATAATTTTACAGATTGAAAGGAAGCTGAGTATAAATACAAACCATTTCATACTTATGGGTAGCTAGAACTATGAAACATTCAAGCAAATTTTACTAAACGCTATTTACGAATGTCACTATGTGCAACAGTTGTTCTTTCCATTTTTCCACATTTGAAAAGATTGTGCGAATGTACTTCCAAAACTTATCATCTTTTTAGTCAATCAGGTACAAATATCCACTATTCAACAAACGAGCGAAATGACTCAAAATTAAGTTTTTTTATTGATTTTCTTCAATCCAAACTAGTGACGATATATATTCTGTTGAATTATAATATCACAAAGTTATTGTTAACATCTACTAGGTTAGACTGGTTCATTTAATTCTGCAATTCGGTACTAACGATAAGCATTTGAGACTAAATGAAACTACTATATAATAATCGACATTATTTCATCAGAATGAATTTCGGTTAATCCAAGACAAGTGGGTGATGCCGTCGTATAAAACTGCAGTGATTAATTCATTTAGATTTGCCGTAGTCCTGCTCAGTCCAACATCGGTTAGATCAATAGATTAGTACCCCTAGACTTCGCATAAGTCCGTCAGCTACAACCTAAAACTTTGTGGTGGTGTTTCGTTCTCTGAGCTGTTTGTTTTGGTTGTGGAGCTTTCGTTGTTCTTCTGAACAACATCATCAGCACAAACTTTAGATAAGTGAAGCATTCGAATTTTCCACGTCTGGCCCGTAGCTTGTTCTGTTAACCTCGATCTTGATTGGTTGCTGTCGACCTTAAACCTGTCGTTGTTTGCACCTTTATTTTGATTGTATCCCCCTTTTGATCTGTTTCTTGTTCTTATATCGCTTATGATTTTTTTGATTGGTTGATAAATTGGGTCAATGTCGATGAGTTTGTTGATTGCTGATTGACCTGAGTGCCAAGCTTCTGAAAATTCTCTAGTGTTCTTTGTGCTCCCCCCTTATTGAGTATTTCCACATAGTTCCAATCGAACGCATATCGATCGAAGTTAACATAAAAAGCAACGGGTCAAACGTGGAGAAATTTGAACACTTCACTTCTATCTGAAGTTTGTGCTGATGATGTTGTTGAGAAGAACAATGAAAGCTCCACAACCAAAACATCCAACTCAGAGAACCAAACACCACCACAATCATTCACTTGAGCTACCAATTTTCTCCACGTAGAACTTTGAATGTACGTACATCAGTCAAAATCCTATAGTGGTAGAGGTAGTAGAAGTATAAGCAGTAATCGAAAATATTAGGGTCTGGAGATATTGTTCAACGAGTATAATCCGGTGAAATACACTTAAAAAGAGGAAGATAAAGGTGATGAAGAATTCAGAAGATTAGAATTTGAGAGAACACAGAGGATGGACGCACCTGCGCCATCGCAAACGATTTTGAGCCATGCCAATCAGGGTCTCTAACCATCGATTACTATCGTCTCGCGGACCCTAATCAGGCAGTCTGCACCTGCTGAAATGGCTCAGTCCGGGTGTCAGTGACTTCATGGATTTCTGCCATGTTTTGGTTTGGCCGCCTCTAGCCTTCTTTTAGCCTACCATTGCAACTCAAAACATTTCTTGTTGAGGCAGTCAGTGATTGAGCATACGTAACACATGTCCCAACTATCTCAACTGATGAAGATTCACTACTTCACCAATTGATTTTTAATCCCTACCTAGAACCCTTTTCCTAGCAACAGCATTGTTTACTCAGTGGTCCCAGGATATAAGAGTAATGCTTCTGAGACACCTATGATCGAATACTAGTAACCTACAAATATCTCCTACTCTTACCGGCAATGAAGTAGGACGGAGCAAACTGCTGTGAAATAGACTCGTCCTTTGGTTGGTAGACGGATATCTCACATATGTCATCTATGATGCAAGTTGACAAAAGCCAGTCGAGCCTTCTGTATCCATGTGGAGATTTCGTCAGACACCAGGCTTTCAGTGCTGATGAAACTCCCAAGATAAGTGAAGCGGTCAACATGTTCAACTATTCCACTCCCTATCATTAGTTTAGGCACAGACGCAAGCCAATCTTGAAGTGGCATTTTACAGATAAGAGATTAAAGTCAAATCGAAAATACTGGGCCCTAATATTTTGGGGTCTGTGAATTAGAATAGTGTTATCACAGGACAATCATTTAGACATTCATGAAAATAGGAGTAGTCTATATTATTGAAGTGTTAGTTTTCAGATATTTGTAGACTTGAGACTCCGTCAATTTGCAATGGAACTATTTGAAATTCATGTTTGCAATGTACAAAGCAATGATCATACAGTAAGTTATGGTAAATTATACTTGAGTATTTTTTTACAAACTACCAATGTTAATAAAAACGACGGTGCGCTTTTTTCTATCACAAACAGCAACCTATTGCACACTTTATGAATACGAAAATACGTACCGTCGCAAAACCACAGGGTGTACGCGCCGAAACTTCAATTGAAGTCAAAATGTCTACACCCATGTCAATCAGAGAAGGATCACGTGTGGCACGATATACGTAGAGAATGGATTCGATTAATTCTATTGGAAAGAATAAATTCACATATTATTTCAACATTTTTTTTTCACGAGGAACATTCTTAATCAGTGAAGAGCATAACTCAGAAAAAAGATTAACGAAAGACAAACACCCTAACCACTTGTGACCTGCAACCGTTGGCTAACATCATGTGACATAAAATATCAATCAGAATATGACTACGCTTTAATAACCTCTAGTCAAAAGTTTAGTTTCTATTGGTATATAATCTTCTTCCTGCCCCGCTTTCAAGTTCAGAAGTTCATTCATTGAATCGAATCATATATTTTGAACATACGTGGTTTATATACATGTATACTTTACCACATCACACCAATAAGTGGAAAATAACCATGACACATGAACAGGTCATAAGTGGTTATGAATAAGGGAGACTGTAAATAATATAAACTAACAGCAAATTATGAATGATAAATCAAACAGCGACAGTGAGTTAACCAAAAGCTCAGGATACAAGGGATATAGAGACAATAATCTAGTTACTACTTAATAGATATACAATAAGTATATGAATTGTAATAGCCCATAAATTAACTCTGACAGTTACCATTCCTACAACTCCCATCCTGATTTAACACCTTTCCTTCTTTGACGGACTCACGTGGGCGTCTTCGGATGAGACCACGACGTTGGGGTTCATCAAGGTCCGCCCTTTTTTGCTTTGTTCAACTGGGGAGTGTCATTAATCCTGTCATTTAGTGCTACTTATTTTTAAGTACCTGGTCGACAAGCTAATTTTTAAAACTATTTTACGTAGATAATCTTTTATTATTATGTCGGCTTTTTGTTAACATATTCATGTTTCAGATCGTACGAGAAAAATTACACAAATAGTAAAAATAGAAAAAAATGGTTTTCTTACCTGGTCGTAATGGATATGCTTCACGACCCTTGTAGGCTTTTTCATCAGTTAAACTATAAAACTCTGGAAGAAATCCATATTTTCTCCATATTTCATGGTAGGCAATCAAATGTCTACGAGCACCTTCAATATCACCTGTAAGTGCCTAAGAAGATAAATGTACAAACAAAGTGAATTTGTCTTATATTAAATCTATTTTAAATTACATAGTTAAATTTACTTGATAAAGTAGTAAGCACAAAAAAAATAGTTTAAAACTTTGATTACTATAACGTCTTGATAAGGAAAGTTAAGTGAACTGAAGGAAAAAAACATTTCATGGATAAGCGCTATAGGAAGAAGCTTTCGATCGATTAAAGATGGGTCCCAAGTAAATACTGAACAACTTTGACCTCGACTCACCAAGTAAGCAAATATACTTACTGAAACACCTAAACATAAAATCAAAGTAGTTATCAGTATAAGGTTGTGGAGACCAAAGGCCCTAGGTTCGATTCCCGCGCGAGGGGTCATGGATACGTACTGTTGAGGAGTTCCATATTAAGACGACATGGCTGTCTATTGCTTACAGGTTTTTAATGATAGTTTAACGTTGATCAGTTCATGATTTCAATTAAATTTAAATAAGATGACTTGTATGTTTGTCAGAATACGATAAAAAATAGTAAACAAACCAATTTTTCTAGTGTCATTTTACGAATACACGACTGTAATGAAACTTTTAAAGCACTTCCGTAGAAAGTTAAGAGATATTTGGTATTAGAAGATTTTATTCAACAAATCTATCTAAAGTTCGTTAAAAACACTTTATTTGTCTATATGACATTCTGAATTTGCTAGAAGAGAAATGGTTGGTAAATTAATTATTTGCAGACGGGAGTAATCAGTGACTGTACAGCGAATAAGCTCAACAAACAATTTTTTGTTGAGCATAATAGAAGTATCCGGCGACTAGTTAGAGATGCGTAAAAGTGGCTGGAGATAAATACGTTATGAGAAGCTCTAATACATCAAACATATTCTTGTCTGACATTTGGCGTAAGACCAACAATGCCAACAACATAAGATTAGATTTATGGTGGATTTTTAGGAGGATAGTAAATTGGGTTATAGATCGATTGGATTAGTTTTAAAGTAATTCGTCTATCGAATTCAGCTTCAGACCACAATTGGGTTTGTCTAAGAACAAGTGATACTACTCAATGCTCATATTAATGTCGATCGAACGAGACTCACTGCTGTAGCTCACAGGTTTAAAGACATATGACTCAGTCATAAAGTCTCCAGTTTATATATGTCGTAAAAGCGCTGAACAGAGCTTTCAAAAGACAAAAATGTTAATGATGTACGAAAACATTCACATTAAGTAAGTTGGTTTATAGGCAATAGATATTTAAAGACAAACAAATTAATTACCAATAAACCAGGCCAAAATGCTTCAAGACTTTGAAATACTGCCACTGTAACTCCACCTTTGTCTTTGTTTATCATTGGATTCCAATCACCATGTCGAATGTATTTCTCAATTGCTACTCTATACTCTACGGTTGTACAGAAAAACAAAGAGGTGAAAAAAAATACTGTTACAGTTTTTTTTGGGAAAAATTCCAGAGTAGCAGAGTTAGTAACAGCATTATTAATGGTAATAGAAAACATTAGGCATTGAAGATACGATTCAAGTAAATCTAAATTAATGATAGTGATAAATGGTCTATACCTGTCAACACAGTTTAGTCCGATTATCAATGGCTTCAGTGACAGATACTTTATTTTGGTTTGATCGCTTCCAGCCCTCTTTTACACCAGAAAACATCATCCTTCGGGGAAGACGGTAGTTCGGCATTCGTAATATATGTCCGAAACCCCTCAGTTGATGATTTTCTACCTCGACAATCAATTTGCTATCTTTTACCAGTACTCTATCTTAAACCTGGGGATTGTTTACTTGGTGGTCCCAAAATATACGAGCAATGCTTTGAGGACATCGATGATCGAATACCGTTAGACTAAGAATATCCTCTATTCCTAAAAGCCATGTTACACAAAGTAGGACGGAGCAAACTTATTGGCAGTAAACCCATCCTTGGGTTGTTAGATGGATATGTCGTCTACGCAACAAGCTATTTCATAGTAAACTATAAAACGATATTATTTTATTCAGGACCCTGTGGACTGAGTTATTATATTCATACTAAATAAAAATAACATTCAAAATATAAAGTTTGCACCTAAAATATGTTTACTTCATTTGCAATGAAATATTTTCAGTAGTGAGCAATGGATCGCTCACTAGTGAAGACTTTTTAATATTCCGAGAAACTACTTGGTTATAATAACACTGATGATGGTATCAAGTGTTAATTTCACTGTAATTAAGTACAGTCTCTTAGTGTCTTCAGTTATAATTATTGTTGAGACTGTCAGTTCCTCATTATTTTATTTTGTAAACCGATAGTTAAGTTATTCAACTTCGAACCACCAGATAATAGACGGAGACAATATTTTTATAAGGAGGCTATATGAACACAGATAGTACTTTAGGCGGGTTGCACACGGAAAAAAAACTGAAAATGTTTTTAATTCAGAAGCTAGCATGAATAATTTGTTAAAAAGGATAACAGTCATATGAGTATTTGTGACATTCCGTTGTCAACAACAGTCTAAATATACAGTTTTAGCTGGTGTGTTTTAGTCAGTAATAATTTTACTTTTCGTAATATGTAATCTCCGACTTTTGTCAATTAGTTGGGACCTGAATGTTGCTCCTCATGAATGTAAGTTAAATCATAAGCGATCACTTCACGTGTAGTTGTTTTCAGCAAGTGAAAGGCGCTTTCTTCCAATGATGAATAGGACACGAACAAGGGTTGAATTTTCAAAATATTTATCTAGATTATCGTCAACCTAAAGGTCAATTAGTTCCATATGAAGATGACGATTATTTGTTTTGATGTCAAAACAATGGAACACCCATCATATCAATATCTGATCAGGGTAAATTGAAACCTAGAAATATCCTGACAATTTTCATTCTTGAGTGCTGGAATTTGATGAGTATATTTATGAACAGATTCTAAAAGTTTGTATGCTTAGTCTCGAGTAGTGATGGTAGTTAGGTTACCCAACTTGCTCATGAAATACACCATTATTATTCGAATACATACCATATCTGATCGCTGTTATGGGATCCTATTTCTCGCCTTTTGCACTAGACTAGTTTAAAACCTGCTTTATATAAATAATACCAACCACCCTATACAGATAACAGTTGTTCAAACGCCAGTACTACCAAAATGATGACCAAATGATGGAAATACATCAACTTAATTGAACCACTACATATGAAAAACAATACTTTTACATAATCCATACCTCGAAACATAGAATCTAGCTCAGGAAGCCGGAACAGTGCTGCACCTTTAACCAAATATTCGAAATAAGAATCGACCCCTGAACCAATAGTGGCATCACGAGCTGTCCAACTACCAGTGATAACATCGATATGGTTTCCCAATAATCCAATAGAAGATCTATATTTCCACATTGCCTTCAGGGCACGCATTGCAGCCGCCTCATATCTGGGATCTCCTATATGTAGAAGGATTCACGTTATATGAAAATACTTGACAAAAACATGTTAAGACGAAAAAAATGACACTTTTAGTTGGTCTGAATTGTACAAATAAGGAAATATGCCACACACAAAAAATCAAACTACGGCTTTGCTCGATGATTAAAAATTGGTGACAAGAAGGGCAATTGATGAGTGGGTTTAAGATGCCGACGCAGTAAAGTAGGAATCCTATCGGCATTCACTTAGAAAGAAACAAATCATGAGAACAGCAGTGAATATATACAAACGAGTCGGTTACTTGAAACAAAAGCCTACTACATTGATAACATGAAGAGAAGAAGAGCTAAATAAAGGTTTACAAGTATACCTAGAAAGATGTTTGAAAAATAGAAATGAACAGGTATAGATTTTATGTATTGAAAACGTAAGTATATCTATAGACAACTAACAATAAAAAGACTCTATCACTACCTGTAAGGCGGGATAATGTTCCAAACTCCAAAATAAATGTTCCAATGCCAGCAACACAAGTGACTGGTGTCTCTCCATTCGGAACGCCACCCAGTTGGAAGTTCACCGTACCATATGGCATTCCAGTCGGGGTGTTGAAGGCGGGTAGGAGTTTATTAGCAAACAATTCTGCCTGTCTTAGAAGTGCTCCAGAACACGGCCAGGATGGTTCCACTTCAAACCCAGCTCTACGTGACAAAAGATGAGCTGAGATAAGTCCACCGACAACTAAAGGATACAAAATGAAATGATTGATATACCTCTGATGTTGGTTTCGAAAACTGAAGCATTAATGTTTTTTTCGGAATCTAAGTGGTCGAGAAGAGCACGCGCAGCGCGGCGGAATTCAGAAGCATTGTCCATTATAACAAGCGTGTCTAGTGCATCTACCAATGTGAGGGAGAAACTCCCCCATGTATCATGCCCATCACATGAAAGCGGTCGTAGCTCATCCAATGGATAGGCATGTTTTATGTAATTGTCGTAAGCATGATAAAAAATATTTTTAACACGGTCTCTAAATGATATGCATAAACTGAAGTAAGCAATTACTTGAGATTTTCCATATTATGTGCGAAGCCAAACTCACTGTTGGCGAATGTCAACAGTGAAATCAAAACATAAATCCAAAGCATTTTGAAGGCAAGGGCAGGCAAAAATCCAAAGTACTTTTCCACACGCTAGCGCAATCTGATTGGCTTCTTTGCGCTTCTTGTTGTTTCGATCGTTTCCAAGATAGTCTGTAATGTCTAATGGATGGAAGTCTAGACACTGAAGTGATTAATTCTAGTCAGTTGATAGATATTTTTTAATAACTACTATACCTTGTAATATCAATTGGTGAATTGTCTTAGCGCAGTAGGTTTTCTTAATACCATTAACTATGAAAACCAGGCAGATGAGTTGAGTGCAATACTATGTTCAGCCTTTGGTAAGTTTGCGTTTATTTTGAAGGTAGTTGTTTACTAAATAAGCGTGAGGAGCAGTATACTAGATTATCTGTAAGAGAAACAGACAAGAACAAAAGTCAGCCAACGACACAGTATGCACTTACATCTAACAAATAAAGTAATCAAACACAGTCAGAAATAACACAAACTTGCAATAAGGATGAACCGACAACCTAAACCATAAGTTAGTAGCGCACACTTTCGAATGTATGACAGATTTGAGGCTTAGTCCTTCGCAAACCTGAAGGTCAAAAAACACGTCGCATTCAATAAACAATATCTTCAATATCCAATATCGTTTCCACGTGCTAGTAAAAACCATCTGATTTCTTCCTGCCAGATTCTCGTTTTTTTGGTACGACCCAAGGGATTTAATAGTGTCTAATGGATGTCAGTCAAGCCACTTAACTACACTAGTTCTAGACAGTTGGCAGTCAGTTATGAATTTACAGATTCCGTGGTTCGCATGAGCGCGTCTCTCTCAATTTACTAGGGTTTCTGAATACCAGCATCTATCACTTGTCAGAACGAAGATTAGTTGAGCGCAGTGAGGAGAATAATAATACAAATATTTTAAAGCTAATGAGATTTAGGATCTAAATAATTAAATAATCTGATTGATTGGTAGTGAAGGTTGTTCGGAATGTCTGAAGTGTAGGCAAGGGAGAGAAGGCAGGGGAAAATAAATGGTCGAATAATAAAAGAATAAAACTTTTCGCCTTGACAAGCTTCAACTGTGATTGAATTCGAAAGAAAGTTGCATCAAATAAGTCGACGCTAATGACAGAGGTAACGCGGTTAAACCAGTCTCCTATACTTTCTAAACTTAAAATAGAAACCTAAATAGGATCAGCAGCAATCACTGAACATAGGAGAAGTTGAGAAAGGACACTCCGAACTCTCATTGCCATCAAAATCAAAATATAGAGTTCGCAGAATTTCCTGAGAAGGATTCGGATAAACTTGAAATGGTTGTTTCAACCGGGATTTATGTCGCAAAGGAAGTCCTTGGATAGGTTCAGATCGCCTGCGTTTATTTTCAAGTCGTAAGGTTTCTAGTCCTACATAAATGTGGAATTTCATCATTTGACATGGCTATTTCATCTAGTGGGTCATTGCAAAAAGAATAATTAGCATCTTACATTTGTCGTAGCAGTTTGGATTGTAGAAACTGCTGGAATAGGCCTTCATAAATATACGTTGGTGTATCCGCAGCGAAGATAAGATAAATTAGAGTCGCACTTGTGTATGAGATAGAGTACTAGAACGCACAGATAGTGGTGCTTCAGAAAACAGACTTTCTAACGTCTGAAGTTAGGTATATTCCTCGATACCAGGTGTGCTATAGACTGTCAGTCGTCAGATTCAATGACAGGACCAAAATATCGAGCAGAAAGAGTAAGTCAGATCATAACACAAATATATATACATGGAGGGATTTTCCAAACACGGGGGACTACGTGAGCTCAGTAGAATCGTGCAGATAACGAATTAGCAGCATTATATGAAATGCTTCAGCTACATGTCTCTCTTAGTAGTTGATATTTTGATATCGATTTAGTGGTTATATTAGATAGCATGTACTGCTATTGCTGATTTAACAACTGCAATATTATCAGGTCTTTTGTGCAGCTTGAGTGTTTATTGACGCGTGTCGACATTTCATGAAAGACTAGGTGAGTGGCTTCTAGTCGATCGATGTTGATGTCGCCTTTAATTAATTTCTTCTCAGTGGTACAGTAGATTGAGTCCTTGACGGTTCAACAGAATAAAATTATAGATGTTTGACTCGCAAGACTATGAATCCCTTCTATACACCAATGAAGTTCGGATCTCACACGTTATTAAGAAGTGTGTGTGTGTGTGTGTATTTTTTGTTCATTCATGATCACATGTCTTTCGCTAACTCTGATCTGGCCATAGATAATGAGTCACGCCTTGTCAAATGACTTGTTATTCTTATATTTTCTGCTTTACTTTTTTCTACTCACCTCAAGGTCTTTCTAAGGAAACGAATTTTTGAAATAAATTCATCGAGCTTAATCCGCATCTGACTTTTTATTACCGCCGTTATTCGTTCGTTCGTATGAAGGCAGAATGTGGGTGACGCAATGACATTTAGAAGTAATTGGATTGTGTATGCTAAATGATAATGCCCAGAACTGTCCAGCTCGTACTGTAACAGTCACATATGGACCAGGATTCAAGTCCACAGGGGACTATGTGAGCTCAGTAGAATGTAATGTATTTAGAATGCAATAAAGTACACAGGAATCGACAATTAGTACAAGCAACATGAACACGTTCATAATTTTTAAGGTGGAAAACTATTATATATACAAGTTATATTAATCGCGTCAACAAATTAAGAGAAGAAATGTTTCTTAAGTTACCTAACGTCACTTTATTAGACTGAAATGACTGTATTGGTGTGATGACCCCATACATAGTAGGCAAAACTTGACAGAGTCAATAGGAATGTGGTTTACTCAAATGTGTAGTAAGTAGTCAACCATGTAAATGTAATTTGTCGCATGATAATGCAAGAGCCTTCCTCATCCAAACTAATTTAAATGAATGTTTCAGTTTATATACTCTGAGATTGATTGTAATTACAATCTCATTACGAAGATATTCTGGGCAATCGTATGTAGGTGAATTTAACAATTTAATGCTATCCACCAATAACAGAGGATAAAATGAACATTTTCACTACCCATAAATTTTATTACAATGAAGGTGAAATGTTATCTATGACTAATCTACCGATGGATTAATAAATAAACAATTATACAAATCATAATAAGGATAAGAATAATATCATTATGATGAGATAAGTTTATTCATCAATAGCAGATATGCTTGCTTCTTGAATCTAACTCAATATAAATTGTTTAGTAGTAGTATTCATTGTGTCACATTAAATGAAACACAACCAGGATTGATAAACAATGTCATCTTAGAGTAATCATTCATTAGTAATAACAAGAATGTTGATGTTTTAGGTTGTGTGTGGTGATTGTAGTTAGTTTGTAATTTATGGAAGTATAATTACAAATATATCTAAAATGTACCTTAATTGGTTTGTAAATGGAACAGTATAATTAGTGTAGTTGTATTTGTAAATCAGCATTCCGCTTGTTGCTACCGTTGTAGTTGGTCGTTAGTAGAATTTGTTTTCGATATCGTTAAAATGCCTGCATATGTAGTAGAAAAGTAATGAAATTACTCATTAGATATTTACGAGCTAGCAGAGTGTTACTGTTGTGAATGCCTAAATAAATAAAGCCCAGAATACATACATTCGTGACCAACGAAGAGGAAACAACGATAATTCAGTGAAGATTTGTTTTCCAATAATGTTTACTAAAGCTATACAATCACATTCATAGGTATGAATATCATGGTTTGATTTGACATTGTCAAATAAATTGAGCGATGGACGGAAAGCTATTTGGAATAAAATAGTTATAATTCTTTGATAATATCCTACATGAGGAATTAGTGTTTCCGACGTTCCGTGACCTGATGCAAGTCACTTGAGTGCAAGTAAATTGACACTCGCCTAAATGGTGAAAGGGAAACGAGACAGAATATCTGTGGTACAATCAAAATGCGAATAAGTCTGAGCTTATCAGTGTCATGTGATTTTTCGATCAAGGTGATTCCGCGTGATATTGTCAAGTGTTATTTGTGTGTATAAAGAAGGAGAGGAAGAATATGTGGTCTGTGACTTGAAGTTTTGCAGTTATTAATAATAAGTTAGTGTGTAGAATCGTGCAGATAACGAATTCAGACAAATCTGGTTTTTCGAATAAACAGACCAGGTTGGATGAATAAGCAGGCCTTCTTTCCTATTGAGGGTAGAGAGACTTAGCAGCATTATATGAAATGCTTCAGCTACATGTCTCTCTTAGTAGTTGATATTTTGATATCGATTTAGTGGTTATATTAGATAGCATGTACTGCTATTGCTGATTTAACCACTAATGTTTCTAGTTCTGCAATATTATCAGGTCTTTTGTGCAGCTTGAGTGTTCGTTGAGGCGTGTCGACATTTCATGAAAGACTAGGTGAGTGGCTTCTAATCGATCGATGTTGATGTCGCCTTTAATTAATTTCTTATCAGTGGTACAGTAGATCGAGTCCTTGACAGCTCAACGGAATTATAGATGTTTGATTCGCGAGACTATGAACCCCTTCTATATACCAATGATGTTCGGGTCTCACACGTTATCCCAGATCTTTTATAGGAAGGAAGAAAACGGGTTAGATCAGATGAAATAGGTGTATTTGCTGGCGATTTTGTCGTATCGAAAAATACCGAAACGTACCGGAGAAGTGAGAGAAAGTTACAGAGCAGCCGAATCAAGCTAACGACCGGGAAGAGCAGAGGCAACGTGATCGTAGTCAACTGTCGGTATAT